TAATCTTTCAATTTTGTAGATTTTTACTACAAACCCCACAATTTGAAGATTGGCAGGTATCTTCTATCAAAGTTCGAATTTCACTTTTACAAATAAAAAAGAAACAAAATCTTATAATTCAATATATAATATATACGGGGCAGTGATGAAACCTTTAACTTCAATTAATATAATAGATGTTAAGGACAACGGTATTCTTCGTATCCCGAGTATCTCCATGATATGATATTGTCCGCTTTGGACATAGTCCTTACGATTTTTCTTTTTGTTCCATCCAAAATGTCTCATACCAATTGAGATAATTGTCTTTCTCTTATATATCCATCATCATTCACTTCTTTAGCAAATGTGGAATTTTGTTTGCATTCCTTACAAACGCAACAATAAATATTATGTTACTAAATTGTGATAAACAAATGTATATTTAAGGGACAAACTGGCAAACTATTGACGATACTTTATATATCCTATCAACTAAAAACTAGATGTTAGATCATCAATCATATAGAAAAACATAAAAAAGTACCCATACTTAATATGTCCAATAAAAGGTAAATTTAAAAAAACAATAAAATTACATTAAGAAAAATAGTGGTAAATGACAATAGCGATCCATACCAATGACTTAGTTATAGACGACATTTATTAATTATTTTGAAATCGAATATTCACATCATCGTAATTCTACATTTATCATTTTAGAAAGTAAAAATCAATCACCGTGGTCTACACTGAGTTTTAATTTAGTTTATATGATTGGTTAAACTTTATAAATCAACCGTAAACAAATATTTTTTATAAATTTAGAGTAAACAAATGAAGATTAGTTAATATTATTTATTAAAATCTACTAAAAAGGTATCATTTATTAAAACAGCATGAAACAAACATTTAATTTAATAACAGAGCACGAAAGCATTAAGCATTCACGGTAAATAATAATAATAATAGAACGGCATTATTATTAGTTCATGATGTTACTTTCCGGGCCACCCATCGGTATTGCGTAGCCCACAGATTGGAGCCCCACCCTCCAATGGCGTAGCTCCAATGCTGTTGCTGACGACTCCGCCCCACCAACGGAGAATCTCTGCGACTCACAACCAGCTTCATCTCCCCTATAAATCTTCCTCCTGCTTCGCCATTCCAAGGCGTCTAATCTAGGTTGACACGCCTTGACCCTCAACTCACCCGCCGCCCATCGGAGAGAAAAATGCAGAGTTTGCAAGAGAAGGCTTCCGAGTGGAGCGGATTGAAGCGCGAAGACGCCTTCGCCATTGACGAAGTCAATTTGTTTCAGAAGTTAGGTCTCCAGACCTTCGTTACTCTCTCGACCAACTTCTACAACAGGTTTGTTTCTATTGTCGAATGCAGCACGGCCATGTGATTTGAGTTTTGCGTTGTTTTTTTTTTCATTTGGAGAACAGCTGTGGATTCGGAATCGGATTTAATGTTTTTTGGTGTTTCGATTGTACATGGAAGTGATTTTTAATCGACAGATGATGGATATGTCTAGGATCAGTCGATGATATGTTATTTCCACTAATTGATGCTCTCTGGCTGTAGTTCGTCGTGATCAAACTGATTTTTTAGTTAGTAACTGTGGTTTATTGCTTCATCAATGCGAATACAGGGTATATGACGACGAGGAGGAGTGGTTCCGATCAATTTTTGGGAATTCGAAGAAAGAAGATGCAATTCAAAATCAATACGAGTTCTTCGTGCAGAGAATGGGAGGTCCGCCTCTATATTCTCAGAGAAAAGGCAAGTTCTTAATTTCTCTCATGTGAAGTCTTCCAGAGGTTAAATTTTGATGTTTCGTTCCTTTCCTGAACATATTGCACAATGACAGAATCTGTTGATTCTCTGCTAACTTTCCATTCCCTAAACAGTTGGCCCTGAGATTACGAGAATGGGAGACTATATGAAATAAGTGATAAAAATACCATTACAGAATTTGAATCTAGACCTTATATCCCTATGTAGGTAAAAGAACTTAAATTTGAGTACATTTTTCAACATCTTTTAGCTTGCAATCGATGAACAGTAATGCACTTCATGGTTTATAGAGCGACAAACGTACTGCAGTATTCAGACTTCGTCTCGCTGTCACTGTGATTTCTTATTTTGAGTAGGAAATCTCTGATCGACATGTAGAAATTAACAGCTGTTTCCCTAATATTTACATGGTGTAATTTGTGTTTGCCTCTTCTTTGCTGAAATTGATCTCCTGTTTGCGTTGAGACGATCAATCAATCATGTCTTCAATCAATCATGCTCAAATTTCCTTAGCTTGCAATATAATCTGTGTAGCTTTTAAGTTTCATGCCTGTGCATAGCAGAACTATGAGGAAGTACTTGTATACAGTATATAGCATTTTTCGCCAGGTGAGAACAAGTGATTTGTTATTAAGAACTTTTACTGGAATCCTTATAATTAAAAATATTTATTCTAGAAGCTCTCACAAACTCTAGTCTATCAGCTTAGTGGTGGTTTAACATTGTATATCAGATCCTAAGAAAATCTTTGACATTAGAATTTTTGGAGCTAGATCTAATGTACATGAAAACGTAGTCCATTGGTAACAAGTTTGTTATGATCCTTACACAAGATGGTGATATTTCAGGCCATCCAGCTCTTATAGCTCGACATCGACCGTTCCCGGTCACGCTTAGAGCGGCGGAGAGGTGGTTACAGCACATGCAACTAGCATTAGACGAAACCCCAGATATCGATGCAGATTCAAAAGTCAGAATGACAAATTTTTTCAGGCACAGATTCTTCTCTTGCCCCTTCTGCCTTCATAGATGTTCTCTTTATTCTTTCTACACCATGGATATGGATATGTAACTGTAACTCTGTGCTTTTTATCTGTTTGAGTTTCATTAACAATGATTGTTTTTCTGGTTGTTTGCAGACACACTGCTTTCTTTCTTGTGGCTGGAGATGAGATGAAGAATCAAGGCCTGCAAACTCAGTGCAAGCATGGCATCCAGCAACAAGCTGCCCCTTAGACATTATGGGACAGTAACATAATTACAAATAATCTATCTTACATGCTTGTAAGACTGTTGAATCTAGGTGACTCTGTGTTCTTCCATGTCCAACTGTCCTTAAATCTTGAAACGAATTAGAGGGCTCTCCTCAATTTGGGTTGAATGAAGACAACAGAGCCATACAATGCCGAGGTACCCAAGTAAGGAAAATTATTCGCAGTATCTCTTTTTAGTTTTATTTTTAAGTACAGTTAAACTGGAGATGAGCTTCCAAACCCCCGAAAATGAACAAGATGCCTTAAAACTTTGTCCTTTCTTTAAAAAATATCCAAAAGTTTCAATACTACCTTACTGTTTAAAGATATGACAATTAATGGAAGCTTTCTTGTGAGAAATAACTTGCATTACAACAAATTTAACTTTCAACGTGGTCAATTGTGGGTCTATCATTGTTTTTACGTGAATTTTTTTTTACCATCATTAAAGGTCAATTTGTTGTATTGTCAGCTAGTTGTTCCCGGCAAGCTTGTTCCAGATTCTGCCACATTAAATTTTCGTTCAAAATATTAATGAATGTTTACTCCAATGGTATTTTATAAAATCCTGCTAGCTAATTGTTCCGGCCAAACTTCTATTAATTACCACGTCGTTTCAAATTGTGTCACGTCAATTTCATTCAAAATATTAATGGATGATTGATCGCAGAGTGCTTTTTAAACACATTTATGGTAGTATTGAAACTTTTGAAATGATAAATTTTTTTTTTTTATAGAATGATAACGTATTTTTTAAACAACCTACAAAATTTAAAGATATTTTTGTAATTTAGCTATAAAATATACATACTCATGTACTACAACTTAAGTAAATTTTGACTAGTGAGTATAATTCATCGATAATTGACTTGTTCCTCCATTCATGAGGTTGTGAGTTCGATCTCCCACCCTCACATGTTATATTAAAAAGAATTAATAAACTTTGACTAGGTCAAAACATGTTATCGTAAATTTGATTTTTCTAATAATAAATTGAGTAAAAAAAAAAAGATGACAGAGAGGAAAGATAAAAGTGGCATACAAAAAGACAATCTGCAAAATTCCAAAATAAACTATAGAGCAAGGGGGTCTGACTCAAAATAATAAGACCTAAACGGTAGGAATAAAATAACTCAGAGAAGCCTTAAACTTGATAAGCAATCAAACCATCTTCGACGACCTCTCCTGTAAAGTCTATATTGTTTACTTTAAATCAATACTCTACATCACTTATGAAAAATTGGCATGTCTCAAGATTTGATCCTCGTCGCATAATCAAATTTTTTTTTTTGTTTTTAGTACAACATATCACGGAAGGAAATTTGAACTCACGACTTCTTGATTTGAGGTATATGTCAATTACCGCTAGTTATGCTCATATTGATCTGAGCAAATTGATAATTATCTATATTTTGGTAAGCAATTATGAGACAAATTCGATGTATGTCAAAGGGATGCAATGTGAAATTGCAATATCGTGACGAGATAATGTTTGAACTTTTCATTTCTAAAAAATGTCTCTAAAGCAACCAATAACTTAATCAATCAATACACCAGCTTTGTTTTCGAAAGGTGCAAAAATGTAGTAACATAACTTAATAATAAGTGTATACTCTATTTTATCAAGAGCGAATATTCAAACATCTGCACGATATTTATTGTACTAAATAGATAAAACTTAATAAGTCATAAGAGGGTACAAAACTCATTAAGATTGGTTGGCATAGGTTTACTCCTGCTAAAAGCAAGTGATTCAAATTACCCCTCTATAGTTGAACTAATAAAAGAAAATAAGAGAAAAATAATTCATTAGAACCAGTGCATTAAGTTTTTATAACATGTCGACATTTCTACATGTTTATAGTTTTCAATTCGACGAGTGAATTGAAATTTTATAAGTATTGCAAAAAGTCGACAAAATATGAAAAATATCAACATGTCACTATAATTTTTAATACAACTATTAATAATTTTTTAACTTATTTAAAAAGTGTGAACTAGTTATGCGCTAATAGTCAATATGAACTTAGTTCAGTGATAATTGACATACTTATCTGACAAATAGGTCATTAGTTCGAATACTCATCCCACTTGTTGAACTAAAAAAATATAATTATTCGTTGGTTTTTATTACGGTTTTTATATTTAATAAAAAAATGGCTAAAATACTAGTTTAATCCCTGTACTTTCAGTCTTGGTTCATTTTGATCCCCGTACTTTGAAAATGTTTGTTTTGATCTCTGTACTTTAAACTGTAGTTCCCGTACTATACATTTTGGCCCCTCTACTTTTAAAAAATGACCGTTTTAGTCATTTAATTTTATTCTTATTCTTATTTTTAATATCACAATTTCGACATGGCACTAAAATCAATATATTTATTCAAATGTAAACATTATTTTATACTAAAGAGTTGTCGTTATGCGTAAAATATGTGTCAAAATTTTATAAAGAGGGACTAAAATGATCACTTTTTAAAAGTATAAGGACTAAAATGAATATTTTCAAAATACAAGGACTAAACTAAACCAAAGTTTAAACTACAAGGACCAAAATGAACACAAGTACGGGACCAAATGAACCAAAACTGAAAGTATATGGATCACACAATATTTTAACCTAAAAAAATTATATCCATATCGATGTTTTAATATACACATGAAGAAGAGACATCTACATTTCAATCCACGTCAAGATTTATTCAAACCTTTGAATTTGTCCAGACAATTTGGAATCTATAGTTAATTAACCGCATTAACCCCTACGCCTGCTCAATTCTACTGTGCTGTACTGTGCGTAACATTTTCTTACATCGGCTTAGCGGCAGGCCTGAGAATTTTGAAAATTCATTCGAACCCCATTATTTTTGGCGCCGAGTTCGTAGCTGGAGTTTCGCCAAGGTTCTCAATTGCCCATGAATGGCGTCCGGCTCTCCTCCTACGCGCATCGACCAGGTATTCTTTCAGTTTCAGTTTCAGTTTCAATCTCACTTCAATCTGTATATAATCCATAGAGGCTAAAATTAAACACGAACATGAATTGAAGTCGAGGCTATTTCATAACATCTCCCTTGAAGCATGTTACATCTTTGTGGCCAAAATGGCTGTATATCCTCTTCTCGCTGATCCAGAGAGGGGTTTTGATATTTTTGTTTTCTTTTTTCCTCCTTCCCCGTCTTTGTTTTTTTCTGGGTTTGTTACTGGGAAAACCGCACAGGGTGGATTGTCTTGTGTTATTTTTGGGTTTTTGATTTTAAGAATGCGGGAAGTATCTACTTGGCTGCTGAGAAAATTAATAAGAGGGCCAAGACTATTCCAATTTGCTCAAAATTTTGTAATTTAGATTAATACGAGGCCATGTATTGTATATTACAATCTTGTAATCAATTCTTGATGGGGTGTGGAATACCGTGTTTCTGAAAATAAGAAATTGTTCTTTTAGACATTATTCATTGCAATTTGCATTGATGGGTGGATGTCTAAATGGTTCTTGTACGTGTGGGCTTCGTCTACTGCGTGCAGTTTTATGCTTCAAAGAAAAGGAAACCTCTTACTCCCAGTCTGAAGTCTGGGAGTTACGAGAAGGATGGAAAAAGGACATTTGAAGGGTCTCCTGGTGCCAAGGGTACGTTGGACAATTACCTGGTGAACTCACAGGACCATGGCAACTCTGATAACCCAGTTCGGGAGACCTTGTTTGCGCAAGACTTGGTAAAAAGAAACTTATTGTTGGAAATTAATAGTTCCTCTAAAAATGAACAAGAGGAACTCGCTCTGTCTCGAGGGTCTCACACTTCTGAAGCAACTCAAGGAATCAAAAAAAGAACTCTGCAGGAATCGTACGAGACCGGAAGTTCAGCAGTCAAAGCTATGGCAAGTGACTGGGGTGTCGTACCATGCACGGAGAAACCAGAGCTTAAACAGTTTGCAGCTGATTTCTTGTCTCTGTACTGCAGGTATATGTACATTGTAGTTTGTTGCAAGTACAAGGCTGTCTTCTTCTTATTCTTTCTTCATTTTCAATTAAAACTATAAATGTTATGGCGATATTCATAGTAGTGAAGTACAGACGACCGTTAGTACGCCAGTTGAGCAAAAAGTGACTGTTCAGTTGAGGCATTCTAGTCCTACTCTGTTAGAAGGGGAGGCTAAGTTACCAAAGAAGACGCATTCAGTCGCTGGCCCATCAAATGCCAAAGGCAAAGCTGATACCTCAAGGGAGATGTGCTGCGGAAACATGCAGTCCAATTTTTTTGTTGACACTGGGGTATTTTTTTTGGCCTTCTTTTGTAGATTCATGTAATTATTCGAAAAATCTGATATCATTTTTTTGAATGACTATTATGGCAGGATACTGATAGCAGTCATCCTGTTGTGCTTAAGGCATGCCAGCAGAAATGCAGTAAAGCACCTAGATCACCTTATTGTTTGACTGAATGCCAAACACCAGGCTTGTCGACTGCAAATGCACGTTCTCGTGAAACTCCCAAGTCCGGAAGCTCTACATTTTCTCCTGGAGAAGCTTTTTGGAAAGAAGCAATTGTGTTTGCAGATGGTTTGTGTGCTCCAAGCATTGATCTTACCAATTATGCTACTGAAGAAACTAAGCTTGTAGAGAACCAGAGTAATACGAAGAAACTTTTAATACCAAAAGGGGAACCTTCTAAAAAACGGTTAAAAGGACAGTTTGATGAAGTTGGAGCCAGCAGTGGAGTCAGGCTGGGGGAACCTGGTGCTTCCAAAGTTTCATTGAGGAGCGATTTGAAAGACTTAAGTAGAGAAGTGTCTTCACTTCCTGTTAAGCATTTTGACTTCTCAGCTGAAGACAAAAATTTGGATGAAAGTACATCACCTTGTTGTGCTTCAAATGAATCTAAAGTTAATGCACATGAAGTTAATGTGCAATCTGATTGTTGTTATACCACTCGTAACAGTCTAGCAAAGCATAACGTCTGTAACAGCGACTCTCTTACAAATGAGAAAATACATGAAATGGAAGTAACTTCATTTGTTCCAGAAGTGACTGAAGCGAAGGTGAACATATTTAGTCACTCTGATAGTATTACATCTAACACAGTGGTTCATGAACTTAGGGCTTCCACTGTTCATGATGTTAACAAGGAAATGACACCTTCAAGTTCTATCAGACATGAAGATTGGCTAGATCTAAGTTGCTGGCTGCCACCTGAAATTTGCAGCATTTACAAAGAGAAAGGAATCTCAAAACTGCATGCTTGGCAGGTATTGTAAAGTACTAAAAACTTTCTAAGTGCTCTCTTGGCAAGTGTCCAAACATGTTTGAATGGAGTGAATGAAAAACTCTTCCGTTCTTCTTTTATACTTCGTAAAAGTTATTATTTTACACCTATTTAATTTATTCCGATGAATTTTAATTGAGTGCATGCAAATGTTTTGTTTTTAATTGGCTTTATTTAAATAGTAATTGATGATACTTTTTGCCATATGACTGTCTGTTGGTCGAGTTACTTTTGATTTTTTATTACAATCGCCAAATTCAAAGCCTCTCAATGGTGTGTTCGTTCCAATCTCTTCTCTTCTTATTCTCCTAGTATAAATTGGGAGGCTTTTATAATTCCTCTTTAAGGAGGTTTCTTTAAGTTTATGGTTTTTATTTCTTCTAATGCTTACTTTTATTTATTTCCTGTACCTTCACTCCTATGGGAGTTTGTATCTTCGAACAATCTTGTTCATTTTCATTTATCAATGAAAAGTTCGTATCTCGTTCAAAAAAAAAAAAAAAAAAACTTGGTGATTGAAAAACACTCAACAATCTGTTTCACTTTTCCAGGTTGAATGTCTTAAGGTAGATGGTGTCTTGCAGAGAAGAAATCTTGTTTATTGTGCATCTACTAGGTATTGCATTTTAGCATTGAATTTTTCCCTTTTTCTAGAGTGTGTTATTATTTGGACGGAAAAATTTCTAGTAGCATTGGAGATGATTTGCTATCTGGCAGTTATTTTGGAAGATAGTTTGAACTATTTAAACAAAAATTCAGTGAAAATATTTTGCATAACTCATTTTATTTTTTGTGCTCTCTTGGGACGATTTGTACCTAGTACGGATTGCAAGGCCATGATGGAGGGAGGTTCTTATACATCTCCCTTTGCAAGGAAAATGAATCTTTTGGGGCAAGCTAGTTACTTTGACATTTTTGGTTTGGGAGGAATAGGATGGTCCTATAGGGTGTAGAGGGTTTTGGATTACTACTCACATCAACAGAAGTTTTAGTTTCTCTTTCTCATTAAAAAAGTATTTTATTATTAAGCAGTTCTTTTTTCCATCAAAATTAAAGTAATTATAATAGAGGTACTTATGGTAGAAATGCCGAAAATAACACTTCCAAACGCTCCGTATATGTTTCTTAGTTTGGCTTTATCTTCTGCAGTGCTGGAAAAAGTTTTGTCGCAGAGATTTTAATGTTACGGCGGGTCATTTCTACTGGAAAAATGGCATTTCTTGTACTTCCATATGTATCAATTTGTGCAGAAAAGGTGTTCTATTGCTTTTCAAGTTCAATAAACTATGTAGATCAAATGATCTTGTGAATAATTTTATTCTTATATTTGACAATTTTATGTTTTATTTGCAATTTCCAATTGTTCTAGGCAGCACATCTTGATGTGCTTATTGAACCTCTGGATAAGCATGTGCGTAGTTATTATGGAAACCAAGGTGGTGGAACGCTTCCTAAGGATACTTCTGTGGCTGTTTGCACAATTGAGAAGGCAAACTCTTTGGTGAACAGATTGTTGGAAGAGGGTCGTTTGTCAGAAATTGGAATCATCGTGATAGATGAATTGCACATGGTAACTAAGAAAATCAATATGAAAATTTGGGACGAGAGACAGAAATATAAGAATTTTGAAGACTGTTCTTGTGGCAGTTTTATAGGTGTATTTTTTTTTAATTTTTATTCTCACTAACTGGCCTGTAAATAAGTGATGATTGATATGTCATATGCTAGCACACTAGGTCAATGTTTCATGAGTACGAGAATTTCCTACTTTCTTTAAGAGATCAGTAGTTCAGCTATACCTTTCCCTGTTAGGGTATTCATCTAGATAGTTCTTGTTCTCTGTTTCATTGACAGGTTGGGGATCAGACAAGGGGTTATCTTTTGGAGCTTTTGTTAACAAAACTTCGTTATGCTGCTGGTGAAGGTAATTTAGATTCTAGCAGTGGCGAGAGTTCTGGTACAAGCAGTGGTAAGTCGGACCCTGCTCATGGTATTCAAATTGTTGGCATGAGTGCAACCATGCCAAATGTGGCAGCTGTGGCAGACTGGCTTCAGGTTAGTGAATCAATAACCCTTTTATTATAGAAAAGTTAATGGGAAATATGATTGTTGTTAGAGGGAAGGATGAGGGTTACTGTTGCTATAAAAATAACTTGGGCTTGTGTAGATGCTGGTTGTTCAATAATAAAAAAAAAGTGCTTTTATAAAAAATTCTTTTATTATGAGGACTGAGTGTTTTATTTTATTGTTTGGTTTTAACAATTTAGAATTATTTGTGATCTAATTTAGAAGTTTTTTTTTGAATGATTAGTATAAGTTTTTTAAGAATTGAAAAATTATTAGACAGGATGCAATTAGATTATAAAAAGATATGATATGAATGAAAGAAAGTGTGTTCAAAAAGTTCGCGAGAGAAAGCATTTGTGTTAATTTTTTAGTGTAGCTATAGCTATAGCAGTGTTATTGAGGCGCACCCGGGCGTTCGCCTCAGGCGAGAGGCGAGGCGATTTCGTCTAGGTGCGCCTTGCAAAGGTGCCCAAGCGAGCACCTTCAATCGGGCGCTCGCCTCGGTGCGCCTTTTGTGCGCCTCTCGCCTGAGGCCAGGGGATCTGCCTTATATATATATATATTTTTTTCTTTTTAATGTGTTTTTTTAAAGGAACCTTTCTCCCTCGCGAAATACTTTAGTCCACAAACCCTAACCATTCTCTATGCCTCTCGACATTCACCTTCACCACCCTCAATCTCCGGCCATCGCCTGCTCCAGTCTCTAACCATCACCGTCGCCGCTCCCATCTCCGACTAAACTTATTGAATTTGGTTGTTTTATGTATCTTGTTGACATTTACTATGACACTATTTTGGTATTTATTTTTTAAATTATGTTTACTATATAAATTTATGCACTATATATATAATATTTATTTATTTATTAAGGTGTGCCTCGCTTCACTCGAGCGTCGCCTTTGTATCGCCTCTCGCCTCAAGGCGATCAAAGGACTTGTTGCCTTGGGGTGCGCCTTGCGCCTCGAAAACACTGAGCTATAGAGAGAAAATGTTGTTAAATAGAGATTGGAAAAAGAGTGTGTGTATAGAGAGACAGTAAAAGAAAATGCCTAGAGAGAAGTTAAAAGAGTGAATAATAGATGTAGAAAGAAACCAGAGGGTGATGGTATATGTAGAGATATCAGCGAGGGAAAGTGTACATTTAGACTTTAGAAAGAGACTAAATAAGAAAAGAAAGTGTATGCTTTGAGAGAGTATAAGTGGCAATGTATCTTGTAAAGTGGAGTTAGTTAGAATAGCTTTGTGTGCAGAGGGAGATTAGAGCCAGAAAATATTTGTGAAGAAAAGCTATTGAGAAAAAGTACGGATGGTAAAAAAAGATTTGTGAGAGAGAGTATGTGTTTTGAGATAAGCCAGTGAGAGAATTATTCAGAAAAAGCTCCCTTCTTCTGCTTTACTACTGTCTATTTGTGTCCTCTGTAAGGAAAATGGGGAAGATTTGAATCATCTTTTTTTCCATTGCTCCTTTGCTGCTGCTGGGTGGTTTTCTCTGTTTTCTCAATTTTATGTTGATTGGGTTTTGGATTACAAGGCAGAAGCCAATTTGATCCAATTGTTATGTGGATTTCATCATCCTTATTCCATGGTGCGGGCTTTGTGGATCAATGCTGTGAAAAGTTATCTTTCTGAGTTATGGTTCGAGAGGAATTTGAGGATCTTCGAAGGAAAACATAGATCCATGCTTGAATGTCTCAACTCCGCTAAGTTTGAGGCTTCTCATTTGTGCTCTCTTGTGGATTCATTCCCCCGTTCTTATTTTCAACAATTGGAGCGCTTTTATTAGTCCTTTGTAGTTCCTTGGTTTTTACTTTATGCTTTTCCTTTCACTCTTTCGAGAGTTTGTATCTTTGAACATTTTGTTCCTTTTCATATCTTCAATGAAAGTTAGTATCTTGTTCAAAAAGATAAGTTAGTGAGAGAAAGTTATAGAGAGATTAGAAGCTCCTGAGAGCTGCCGTGGAGAGAGACTAGTATATGTAGGGAGAGACTAGGAAGTGAAGGTATAGCCTATAGATGTGTCGTGTGTGAAGATAACTTTATGAGAAAATATATATTTGGAGAGAGATTAATAATAAAGGATTAAGCCAAAATAATCGATAAAGCACTTACCATTTGCCTTTTTAAAAGCACTTTAAAGTGTTTTTGGACTTTACTCGAAAGTGATTAAAATTGTTTGTTGCCAAGCATAATGATTTTAGATAGGAAGTGCTTTTAAATGCTGAAGAATACTTTACCATGGTTGAAACTTGAAAGTACTAACAAACCACGTATATCTTATGTTGGAATCAGGGTCTTAGCAGTAGGAGGCAATTCCTTTTTCATTTTCAGAATTTATTTGCTCATTTTTGGGTTTGTGGTTGAAAGGGGATGGAGTGCTACAATTATGCCTTTTGGAAAATCTAAAGGCTTGGTCATTGCATCTCTGTTGTCAGAAAACTCCACTGTCACTTTGAAATTTTGCATGCAGGCTGCCTTGTACCATACTGATTTTCGACCTGTTCCGTTAGAGGAGTACATTAAAGTTGGCAATACCATTTATGATAAAAAATTGGATATTGTTAGAACAATCTCAAAAACAGCTAATCTTGGTGGTAAGGATCCGGATCACATTGTAGAATTATGTAACGAGGTATGGTTTCTTTTGATTTGTTAAGTAGTACTAGTACCTGTTTCTAAATTTATATTGAATAATGAGAAATGATAAAAAAATTTAATTGTATATTAGGTTGTTGAGGAGGGTCACTCAGTATTAATCTTTTGCTCCAGTCGAAAAGGATGTGAATCAACAGCAAAACATGTTTCAAAATTCCTCAAGAAGTTTTCTGTTGAACTCCATAATGAGAACAGTGAGTTTACAGATATTTTTTCGGCGATTGATGCACTGCGAAGATGTCCTGCTGGATTGGATCCTATATTAGAGGAAACCTTTCCGTCTGGTGTTGCCTATCATCATGCTGGCCTTACTGTATACTCATCATCTCTTGTACCTATAAGTAAATCATATCGTTGGTCATCTTTTAATTATATTTATTACTTGTCAATAGGTAGAGGAAAGAGAGATTGTCGAAACTTGCTACCGCAGGGGTCTTTTGCGTGTTTTAACTGCTACATCTACCTTAGCTGCTGGAGTTAACCTGCCAGCTCGAAGGGTTATTTTCCGACAACCTAGGATTGGACGAGATTTTATTGATGGTGCAAGGTACAGGCAGATGTCTGGTCGGGCTGGCCGGACTGGAATAGATACTAAGGGGGAGAGTGTAAGTCTTAATTCTTAACTCAAGTTCTGGTTGTCTATTAACATGCTGATTTATGAACATACTGTCAACTGGCCTACACTACCCGACCTCTTTGCTTCGATTTTTTTTTTTGAACTTGCTATATTGAGACATTTTCCTTTTGTTGGATTCTTCTTTTTACAGACATTTTTCTCCATTTTCATCTAAGCAGGTACTCATTTGCAGACCAGAAGAGCTTAAAAGAATTAATGAACTTCTTAACGAGAGCTGTCCACCACTGCAATCATGTTTGTCTGAAGATAAGAATGGAATGACTCATGCAATTTTAGAAGTTGTGGCTGGTGGGATTGTTCAAACTGCAACTGATATTCACCGATATGTAAGGTGTACTCTTCTGAATTCCACAAAACCATTTCAAGATGTGGTTAAATCAGCACAGGAATCTCTTCGGTGGTTGTGCCATGGAAAATTTCTTGAATGGAATGAAGATACCAAGTTGTATAGCAGCACACCTCTTGGACGTGCATCGTTCGGAAGCTCTCTTAGTCCAGAAGAATCACTTGTAATAGACCTCTTCTATAATTCCACCACCAGTACTCATTGTGAAAGCACGTGTTACAAAATTACCATATGCTTTCAAGTTTTAATTTGGTTCTATCAATTGCATTATGTAGGCTATATGGTAGTTAAGTGGACTAGCATGCTTTCTAACTGATTATTTTATCTTCTTAGATTGTTTTGGATGATCTTTCGAGGGCCCGAGAAGGATTTGTGCTTGCATCTGATTTACATTTGGTGTACCTAGTTACACCAATCAATGTTGATGTTGAGCCAGATTGGGAGTTGTATTATGAACGGTTTATGGGTCTGCCTTCTCTTGACCAGGTAAGGTTGGTTACTGTGCTAGTTTTAGACTCCTTTCAAATAATCAGAAATTTAGGATTAGGGTCTAGTTTATGGTTCAAATTAGATTTGTAACCCTCTCCACAATTAATTTCTATGATATATGTTATTTAAATGCAAAGAAGTAACAATCAATTTTGTAGGCCACATTTCAGAGGCATTACCAGACTTCTTTTTTTTTTTTTTTGTGAGAGAAGGCTTCTTGTTCTCTCTTTAAACATCTCTTTTTGGACGAAATGATGCTTAGTGTCCTATAGAAATAGATACTGAAATTAGATAAAATATTTTCTCTCTGGTGCCTCTTCCAGTTCCGTTAACACTTTCCCCCTTACATCTTTCTTGCTTCCTTGCGCAAACACACTCTCCATTCTTTTTAGTTGAATCTCCACGTTCTTCTCTCTTGAATAATTTTGCACCTGTGAAAATACCTTTGCCAAGATTGGGATTCTGCAAACTTTTCCTCCACTGCTTCCAATCAGTTTTCCATTTTATTTATTCAATTATTCCCTCATAGATGGAACTGCTCTAATACTACCGTGCGGCTGTGCCTTGGTAAGCCTTGGCCATGAGACTTGACAGTGGTCAACAGCCAGAAAATTTCAAATCGGGAGTATTCTTCTACCAAATTCCATTTAGATACTGCTCTCTCTCCCCCCATTATATTTAAGCTAATTTACATCAGCTGACAGACTCTTCTCTCCCAAATCAATAGTTTACTAACTCTCCCACTTTGATTTTGATACACAGACTGCTAGGTTCTTTCTGTATAGTTCTCACAGCCCCTCTCTTCCCTTGTTTCTTATACGTAATACGAATTGAGGGTATATTATAACTTCACTTAAGGATGCTTATTTCTAAATAGCTTTATTAATGAGGCCTCCTGTAAAAAAGTTRCGAACTTCAGTAAAATGGATGGAATGATGCATTTGTCAGACCTCTTGAGATGTCACTCTTTTGTCGCTTAACTTAAAGAGTGTTGAATTTTTCAGAATTCTTCTTTAAGACACACTATTTACATGTTCAGTTATGTGCCAATGGCAAGATAATCAGAGTAAATATGGAAAACTTCAATGAGAATCATTTAGATTTTGTAGTAATAATTTTAAGCTTAAGGCTCCAGAAGCATGTTTGATCCCGAATTTGCTTTAGAAACTTTTGTTATCAAGGAGTGAGTCTTTTACAAGGTGTTGTATCATTTATAAATATGAAATATACATGTTTAAAATGGCCTACTTTCCTATTTCTCTACTATGAAATGGAACTGCACATAAGAAACGTAATGTATATATTTTGTCAAAGTTGGGCATTGTATGTATGCTTCTTAAGTATATATATATATTTTATGCATTTACTTGGCTGTGTTGGTAGTATTTCTGTTGAGTGTCAGTGTGATAATTTATGTCGAGGAATTTGTGTATTTTGTTTTTCACGGTCTTCAGGTGATCCCACCACCTATTTGCCACATGGCTAGCAATTTAAGTTTGTTGAATCATTTCTCTTTCCCTAAATAAATATGTAAAATGGGAGTGCAGTCTGTTGGGAATCGAGTCGGAGTAACAGAACCATTTTTGATGCGCATGGCACATGGTGCACCAGTTCAACGTGCGAACATAACAAGAAATGGTGTCAAAAGTTTACGTACCAAGCGAGATGAACATGGGAGCATGTATGATGTCAGACCTTCAGAGGAGCAAACCATTCGAGTGTGTAAACGATTTTATGTGGCTCTCATCTTGGCAAGACTTGTTCAGGTGTGTGAAATATGTTGAGTTAGTCTTGCATTTCTTTCTGTGTGATTGGTGACTTTTAATATTTAGTTCATGTTTACTTTTGTTCCTACATTGTAGATAAAAAACAGCATGAATCCCTTTTTTCTACATTACCTATGTATATGGATACAATAGAATTATTTTTATTACTCTTCCTCTCGACAGCCGAGCAAATAAATTTCATTCCTTTATTGTAGTTATTCATCTTTCGATTTTGTACAGTAAAATTGAAAAGTTTTTGAAAGATTTCCACCTAATTTGTGTTCATGCTGGTTGTGAAGGAAACTCCCATTCCGGAAGTTTGTGAAGCTTTTAAAGTCGCTAGAGGGATGGTTCAAGCATTACAAGAGAGTGCTGGAAGATTCGCATCTATGGTTTCTGTATTTTGTGAGAGGCTTGGATGGCATGATCTGGAAGGTTTAGTAGCCAAGTTCCAAAATCGTGTTTCATTTGGAGTGAGAGCAGAGATTGTAGAACTTACTCTTATTCCATATGTTAAGGTGCTGTCCTTTATTTTTTCTTCTTTGTTCCTTTGTGTATCCTAATCAGCGGCATTGGATGTTATTTACTTCAAGCAATTCTCTCTCAGGGTTCTCGAGCCAGAGCACTCTACAAAGCTGGTTTGCGGACACCTTTAGCAATTGCAGAAGCATCTGATGCAGAAGTAATTAAAGCTCTTTTTGAGTCGGCATCATGGACTGCAGAAGGTAAGTTTAACCGAGACTGAATAATTTGTTTGTGCTGATTCTGGTCAGCTGGTAAAGTTATCTATCCTCTATGTTATGCAATTTTCTCACCCGAGGAGTTTGTTCAAATTTTGTTGTCGGTTTTGATGTGAGGGCTTAATGGCATCAAGGGGAGTAGCCATTTGACCGAAGTCTTTACTATTATAAAAAAAAAAAAACCCAAATATAAGAGATTGACCCTCTATTTATATAGGATGCTAACCTACTAACCATGACAACTAACCAACCAACAATGCAACAAACTCAAATCAAAATTATAAAACAACTTCTAATTACACTACACCAGCCTTCCTCTCTTTGAACTTGGGCTTGGAGGTTGGAAAGGAGTAATGGTCATGGTTGTTCTCGACCCCTTGCTGACTAGTTATGGCATGATCTTGTTCAACCCATGCTAGGAAACAACCAATATTTTGTCCGATTGAAAACAATAATATACTAAACAAAAAGATTATATAGCAGACATAAAGACGATGAATCCTATGTTTTTTTTGATAAGAGACATGAAGACGAGGAATCCTATGACCAGATAAGGAAAATTAAAAGAAGGAAAAAGACTCCAGGTAGCATACATAAGGCAAGCCCAAAAGCTAGATATTTTACATTCTTTGCCCACCAAATGTGAAACTGTTCGCCTGATCCGAAACAACCGTCTGAGCTGCAATCAATCAAGTTATAGTGATTATTTGTTGAGTCATTAGGATTGTGTAGTGTGGATTGATCCTTTATTCTCTTACTTATTTATTTTTGGATTCAAATGACTTTATTCTTAGAGATTCAAAGATTTCTGGTTACTGTTATAATTGGCAGTTATCTTTCTCTACTTTCATTATTCTAATATTGAGGTTGATTCTTAGAGAGTACAGCACAAAGACGCATGCATGTTGGAATAGCAAGGAAGATTAAGCATGGTGCACGTAAAGTCGTTCTTGATAAAGCCGAAGAGGCTAGGATTGCTGCATTCTCTGCTTTTAAATCATTGGGGTTAATTGTGCCACAAATTTCTCGTCCTTTGTCAGTAAGTGCAGATGGAAATATAACAGCACAAGTGGCTGCAAGTATTCCCTCTGAAATTGATACTTCTAACAGAGTTGTTGGCACAGCACAAATGGAACATGTTTCAATAAATTCATGTTTTGGAGGAACTTCTAGTTTTGAAAAAGTAGGTAGCAAGAACCGGAGTCAAACTGGAGCAATTTCTGTTGAAGTCGAACGGTCTGATTTTGGCACTGAGAATCATCTGGTGAATGTTGAAGGGTCTTCGATCCAGGAGCAAAAAACTGTGGTTGAATGCGCAGAAAAGGTAGATGTTGCAATCTCTAATCATGTGAAAAAAATTAATGATTCAATCAATGTGCAAGACGTGTATAATAAAGATGTTCAAGGGGAACAGCATGGCAGCAATGATTTGCATCTTCCCAGAAGAGATGGGTCTTCCATGAAGGGTCCTATGCATGCAGTTAGTACATTTGGTGGCTTTGAATCTTTCTTGGATTTGTGGGATGCTACCCAGGAATTTTATTTTGATCTTCATTATACCAAGCGATCTGTAGTGAATTCTGTTGTCCCCTTTGAATTACATGGAATAGCCATCTGTTGGGAAAATTCCCCGGTGTATTATGTGAACCTTCCGAAAGACTTGTTATTGTCCAAGAGTGGAAAAAGTCTTTATCCGGATGACAGCACAACTGGTGACCAGACAGATGTTTCACAATATGAGCGCCAGTTTGAGATGGTTGAAAAAAGATGGAAAAGGATCAATGAAATTTTTGCAAAAGAAAATGTCAGAAAGTTTGCATGGAATTTGAAAGTTCAGGTTCAGGTGCTTAAATGTCCGGCAGTTTCCATTCAGAAATTGGGTTACCTGAACTCTGCTCGGCGTAGTATGGGTCTTGAACTTGTAGATGGTTCATACTTAGTATTGTCTGGAGTCCACATAAGCAATGGAATTGATATGTGCATTGTGGCATGGATTCTTTGGCCAGATGATGAGAGAAATTCAACCCCTAACCTGGAGAAGGTACGACAAAATCAACTCAACTAATCCAAGACCATAACTGAAAAATAAAATTTTCTTATTGGTGTCTGTCATTTTTCAATCAAGATAACTTGTGATAATGAAGGATGTTCTGGTCTGATGGATTTTCTAACATTTTATGGTATCTAATCTTCCCCTGAAATTGTAATGGTGATGAAATAGGAAGTCAAGAAAAGATTATCTAGTGAGGCTGCTGCTGCTGCTAATAGGAGTGGCCAGTGGAAGAATCAGATGAGAAGAGTAGCACATAATGGTTGCTGTCGGCGTGTTGCACAGACACGAGCTCTATATTCTGTTCTCTGGAAGTTAATAATTTCTGAAGAACTCATGGAAGCTCTCAATAGTGTAGAGATTCCATTGGTAAATTTTGTTTTGCCTGTGCATTTTGCTGAAGGGAAAATTGAAACTAAAAGTTGGTTCTTCTAATGCCACTAAAAATAGTAAATAAAAGAGGTTAGTGGTCATTTGCTATGAACATGATGCAATTCCAGATTGAAGGGCTTTAGAATAAAAGTAATACTTCAGATTAGGCTCATATATTGCTTTTTGTTGTTTTACAACAAGATTTAAATGACACTTAAGAGTGAAATTTTCTTCTTCCATAAAGCAAATGAATAAAATCTATAACTCCAGCCTTAATATTTGCTCGATCGAGCAATTGAAGTATTTGAAGTTAAACCATGTAATTTTTGTAGGTAAGTATTCTTGCTGATATGGAAACCTGGGGTATAGGTGTTGACATGGAGGGATGCATTCGAGCCCGTAATTTACTGGGAAAAAAACTCAGGTGCCTCGAGAAGGAAGCTTATAGGCTAGCTGGCATGACCTTCTCCCTGTACGCAGCAGCAGATATTGCAAATGTTCTGTATGGACATTTGAAGCTCTCGATTCCAGAGGGGTTCAACAAAGGCAAACAACATCCTAGTACTGATAAACATTGTTTGGACCTGCTGAGGTAATAAATATTAAATAGATTCTTATAATTTTTATGCGAGGATGCATGTGAAATTGAAACATTGCTGTCTGTAACAGTAAGGTCCATAAGCTCCATGCTATATGCCATTATGTAAAACAACGAGCCTTTAGTATCAGATCAAACAATGACAAGTGAGAATGTCGAAGAGAGGATTCCAACGTGATGGATTCCTTCATTTATTGGCACAAAATGGAGTCGGTGGTTTCAACTACAAGTTAGAAAATGTCCTTGGCCTCCTAATGCTGACATTAATATTTTCTTTAATGCCTTTAGGAAGAAAAGTAAAGTGCATTTTTTATTTTAGAAACTAAACATCTATTAGTGTAACAAAGAATATAATATATTTTCTCAAGGGAAGAAAGTAAATGCAAGTTAAAGTCATATTCCTATAATGCTATTATTGGTGTTCGTAAGTTTCCACGCATGTTTTGAACTCTCAAGAGTGCTTGAGTCACATTTGATAGCATTTTGTGGATCTTTTTCAAGTGCTCTCTGTGTGCCTAGCTAGCCACGTATTTGATACAGGTCTCGTATTTCAGGTATGAACACCCTATTGTTCCAGTCATTAAAGAGCACCGGACATTGGCTAAGCTCTTTAACTGTACTTTGGGATCCATTTGCACGCTAGCTAAGCTATCTGCAAGGACACAGAAATACACGCTACATGGTCATTGGCTCCAAACGTCCACAGCAACTGGTCGGCTTTCCATGGAGGAGCCTAACCTTCAGGTATGTGTTTTTATACCTCTTTTCCTTATTTTGTTAATGAAATTAAAGATGGAACCATATACTAAAGCTTGGATTAATTCCCGGAGTGCAGTGTGTTGAGCATATGGTAGATTTCAAAATAAGCGAAGATGATGTTGATCATTGTAAAATTAATGCTCGTGATTTTTTCATCTCTACTCAGGTATTCCCATTAAATTCTGTTCAATAACTCTTCTTGAGCATTGTGGACCTTTTTTGGGGGCTATGCTTCTCATACATTGTCTATTGCAACTTCTATTAAGAAACTAATACTAAGAATTCCTGTTTGTTTTCTTCTTTCCAACACTTTTGATAATTCAAGATTGTGGACAAATACACACCTTAGCTTCCTTAGTGGGGGTCCCTTTGCTATTCATTTTTATATTTACTGCATGTTATAAACAGAGTTTATGGTTCAAAAGATGAGGAAAAAATGATTTTATAGAAATAGGACATGGGAGAACCATCATGGTGTGGCCTAGTGGTCAATAAGGACCAATATAAATAACAAAGGACTTAGAGGAAATGGGTTTAAACCATGGTGGCCACCTATCTAGGATTTAATATCCTACGAGTTACCTTGACAACCAAATGTAATAAGGTCAGGCAGGAGTCGAAGTGTGTGTAAGCTGACCCAGACACTCACAGATATCAGGAAAAAACAAGAAAAGAAAAAAGGACATGCAAGGATAAAGTTGCTTCAATTTTTATGATTGCAAGTTGGGGTTGGATGGATATCTGTATGAAAGCATTCTATGAAGAGCAAAATTTATCTACCATAATTTATACTCGTAAAATCCCCTGGTTCTTCACATTTACTTGGTTTTAATCTGGTTACAACCAGTAAATCTAATATGCGAACTAATAATTGTGAATTTTGACTGAAGGATTTGGAATTTAATCTATGACAAGGTGATGTCGGTGAGAATGCTGGTAGATGTGATAGCTTGGGTTGGATGACTTTAATAGCGTGTAAGAGTGGAGTTTGGAGTAGTTTGTGTTTGTTTGCATTAGTGATAAATATCAAACTTTCTTTTAATTATTATTTTTATAATTTTTTATGATCATTCAAAAGTTACTGCTTTCCTTCATGTTCATATATATGTACAATGGCAGAGGTTGGCATTTTTAGTTATGCTTTGTTCTCTGAAGTTGAACTGATTATTTTTCTTCTCTTATTTAATTGAAGAATTAAAGATTCCCTACACTGCGTCCAACCTTGATTGACGAGCACTTATTTTAATATATATTGTAGGAAAATTGGTTGCTCTTATCGGCAGATTATTCTCAGATAGAGTTGCGGCTGATGGCACATTTTTCAAAAGACTCCTCACTGATTGAACTCCTCAGTAAGCCTCATGGGGATGTTTTTACTATGATTGCTGCTAGATGGACAGGGAAGACAGAAGACTCTATTGGATCTCATGAGCGAGATCAAACTAAAAGATTGGTATATGGAATCCTTTATGGAATGGGGGCCAAATCACTTGCATTACAACTGGAATGTAGTCGGGATGAAGCGACAGAGAAGATTCAAAGTTTCAAGAGTTCTTTCCCTGGCGTGGCTTCATGGCTTCATGAGGCGGTTGCATTTTGCCGTCAGAAGGGGTAAAAACTTATTGTTCTCTTTGTGTGTTGTGCTATTTTCATTTGTTTAGATAACGCCTTTCACTTCCGCACGTCCAAAACACAATCTTTTTCAGGTATGTTGAAACTCTTAAAGGAAGAAGACGCTTCTTGTCAAAAATAAATTCTCCAAATAGCAAAGAAAAATCGAAAGCACAGCGACAAGCTGTGAATTCAATTTGTCAGGTATTAAATTCATCTCTCTCTCCCCTCTCTTTCCATCTTGGTTTAAAAGTGATGTTATAATTATGTGCTAATAGTTTTACTTTTACCAGGGTTCAGCAGCTGACGTAATTAAAGTTGCTATGATCAACATTTACCATGTCATTGGAACGGATGCACCAGATCTTACACAGTTACCTGCAGCTAACTCTAACATCTTGAGGGGTCACTGCCGAATTGTGTTACAGGTTCATCATGCAGTTTCCTTTTGCAAAATGCTTAAATTTTACTGTTGTCATGTCTACTCCACTTCATGTACAATCATTTCCAGTAATTATGAAGTTTCTTACTCAGGTGCATGATGAGTTAGTGTTAGAAGTTGATCCTTCCATGGTAAAGGAGGCAGCAGCTTTGTTACAAATTAGTATGGAAAATGCTGCCTCACTTCTGGGTAAATATGCCGCATCTATATTTTGCCTTTCTGTACATTCAAAGTGTTTACCACAAGAACTGTCTTTGATTCTTTTCAGTTCCTCTGCAAGTCAAATTGAAAGTTGGACGATCTTGGGGTTCTTTGGAGCCATTCGTGCTAGATCACTGCAAGAATGAAGTTCTTGTGCCGGGATCTTGACCACCAAAGTTTTTAGTTATGTGACGGATTTTCAAATATTTGGATCCAGGTTTGTATGCTATAACCATATGATATTCATCTATTCCAGAAAGTTGCATATTAGTTCGACCATCTGATAATCTTGCCTCATGGTTTCTTGGTTCGAACTAGTAATTCGTAATTATTTAGTCTTTGAACTTTTTTCTATTTCGTTGTATTGTAGACGTTCCTAGTGGATGATTGAGCTTAAAAGGGTTTCAGTTTTTTCAGAAGAAAGCTTGGTGCAAACAGTAGACTACCTGGCCTTAAGAAAGGAAGAAGCTGATGGAAACAGTGCTTGGCTTTATTCTGAGACCTTTCATCAAATGCTCGAATTCGCAACAGCTTTTTATAATCAGCAACCTTCAAAGCAACCGGTTTCGTATGGTCTGCTTTTGACACTGGAGTTGTGACCTGTCATCTTTCTTCTGCTGCAGTTGCCTTCTCTTGCAGCCATCTTCCCACATCTGCTTCTACAACAATTTCCAAGTGGAGTTCCTCAAGTCGATTGTGGATCGAGAGAACACGCTGTGTTCCTACTTTCTTCTAATAATATTTCACCATTTGACTATATTGGTAAATATCCTCTCCATCCAGAGGTATGGATTACTCATAGAAGTGTTTCGAGATCCTGCAAATAATGCAAACGACGAGAAGCTATAGAAAGTGGCATCGTTGTGGAGGCGAGAACCCGGGTGCAGCATACTTCTTAAGGTACGCGTATCCAAGAATCAGAGCGTTATTTGGTTCCTCATTTGATACTTCATTGTGAGCGCATCAAGCCGACTTGAAGATTTCATCTCGGTCAGTGCTCATTTTTACCATTTCCAACTGCTGCTCAGTATCATCTTGTCTGTCCCACCAAATTTTTGCCATCCTTGGTTGTTTGGTATATGCATATGGCCACCATCTCCATAAACTATAATGTGAAAGAGAGGCTGTTCAGCCATTGCATTTGGAGATGCATATTTTTTTCAGTAAACTCCAATGCTGGTCTCTCTCTGGCCCCATAAAGTTACTTTCATTTCGATACAAAGTTTTCTTCTTTTTTATACAACCTTGTACACATTGTTCTGATTCAATTATTTAATGATATTTCATTCTTTAAGCTTTTGTTCACATTTGAAGATTCAATCTTTTGGTATGATCTTGCGATCTTGTGGTCACAAGTAAATGTTTTAACCAGTTGAACTATACTTATGTTATCATTAACATATTAATTAGTGATGCACATTCTATTTGATAAATAGATCAAAAATTTTGATTGCTATTTTATTAATTGTTAATAAATTATTTAGATTAGGAGAACAAATTTTTAACCTTGAGGCTTGAACTAAAAAATCGATTCTAGAAACTAAGTTCATTGTTTTTGTGTAAATACATTTACTTCGATTAAGTAAACCTATCTTCGTTGCAATTTATTTTTTATAGTAATCATTATTATGTACGATAAATAATTATCTTGACGTTGATTTGTTGTATTTTCAATCTCTATTTTCGTACTTTAATATTTTCACAATTTTGGGTTTAGCAAGGAGAACCAATTTTAGAGGGTATTTTTGGGATTAGAATTCGGATGCTAGGATGAATATCTGCTTTCCAGATCTTTGACGGTCACTTTTACAATATCTAAAAATTTGGGTCATCTATTTATGTAGTTTTTCCGTTGCGAAATTTAAGCTGGGCTTAATCAGGGAAAAGAAGCCCAATAATATCATGGGCCTCGATTTTTTTGGGCCTTTTGCACAAACTGGATCCAAGTTTCATGGATTACCCGGTGATTGGATTGTTCAAAAAATATTTTAGAACTATTTGGGAGAAGAGGCTAAAATTAATATACATCTAGGAAAATTGATTGTCTTTTACTTTCAGTAGCCACATTTCTTTTTATTTACAGTAAATTTTTTTTCCTTTCTTTTTAAAGCCATAATTTAGTATATAATAATTACACGAAAGCTATTTTTTTTACAGCAAATATGGAAGTAGAGGTTTGAATCTCTGACTTTAAGGAAACGAGTAAAATACTTTAACCGTTGAGCTATGTTCTAATGTTGACATTACACAAAAACTATTAATCATCAAAATTATTAGCAATACATTTTCAACCAAAGCATTTATGGTACAAATTAAAGAGTATAAGGAAGCCAGCCAAGTTATATATAAACTTAGGCCCCTAATTTGCCTACACATCCATTGACTTTTTTATGTGTATTTTCATTAGTCTATATCTACTATATTTAATAGATAAATGGATCTTACTAAAATTTTTAAGCAAATAATAATATACTACATAAAAAAGTAGTAGGAATTCCTACTAATGGGTATGTAGCTAAACTTATTCATAAAGGGAGAGAGTAGCTAAACTTATTCATAAAGGGAGAGAGTAAATGAAGGAGAGGTCAACCAAGTTATATAAACTTAGGCCAATATTACTTGCCTACACTACGCGGACTTTCTAATGTGTGTTTTCATTATTCTATTTCAATACTACATTTAATAGATAGGTGGATCTCATTAAAATTTTTTAAGAAATTAAGAATGCGTCCCAACATCAAAATGTCAATATAAAATCTTACTAACCGGTATGTCAGGCAAAATTACTCATAGGTGGAAAGAGAGAGATAGCTCTTTTATATAGGAAAGAAAACAGTTAAAAAAAAAAAACTAGAGGAAAAAAGAAGAGTATATACATATGAATGATACGTACCTCCAAATTGGTCATCAGGAAAATTCCTACTCACCGGTCACCACCAAAAAAATTGAACTATTAACTATTTTTTTTTTAAAAGAAAGAAAAAAATCTCTCTTCTCTTCAACTTCTCAAAAAACATAACAGTGGTGAACCGAAGATTCTTACTAACTAGTTAGAAGGTAAGCATATATCTACCGATCGAAAGCGATGTTGTTTGTTCTTTTTTCTTTTTTTAAAGGATGGAAATGGTGGTAGGCAAAGCACAGGCAAAGTATGGCCTTTTTGAGAGATGTAGGAGAGAAAAGTTTGGTTTTTTTTTTGCCCTCTCACAGGTCCAATAAATCCTTAAATGGTGGGCTACCCAAACCCACTATAGATCCCTTTGCCCTCCTTTTGTTTGTTGTGTAAATAATAATAGTGATATATCTCACATGTGAACTATTTCAGGTGAATCTAAAAACTACTTTTTTCCCTCCCTCTCCTTTGTTGGTATCTCAAAATCTTTTTGGTGGGAATGAATAGTGTGTTCCACTAATTAAACAAATAATAATACTCTCTCTTCCCCCACTTCCCAATTTCCTTCCAACTTCACAAAAATCATGTACTCAGAGGATGGACTATGGAGAGTCACAAGCCAAAGCACATGGTTTAGTGGGTCGGTTTGTGTTGCAATACTAAATCTACTCCCAAAAAATGACACATGTCCATGTCTTCGGTTGGTAGTTGGTTAAAGTATTAGTAATCTTTTTTATAGGCCGCAAATCTGAATTCTTATGTTGTATTTTTATTGTTGTATTCTAGAAAAAACGGGGAAAAAATCAAAATTTACGACTAAACTTGGTAGTGTGTAACTATTTTTACTCTAAACTATTAATTTCATGAAGTTAGATTCTCATGATTTAGATAAGTATTGTAGTTTTTTACGTTATGTTCAATATAAAATTAAGTTAGATCAATTTGAATAACTCTGTCAGAAGAACACATATGAGAATACTTTTTTTATATCTGAGTTAAAGATTACAATATTCATCGAACCTAAAAGGTTGAATTTGATAAAATTGAAAGTTCAAAATTGATATGCTTCCTAAGTTGGGATAAATTTTGATTCCCCGTGAAAAAAACAAACAAGACATTCATCAAATTTTCAAACTTGACAAATTTTAATATATATTTCTTGAGAAAAATGAACTAGAAAATGGTTAATGCAGATGCTAATATGTTAATTCTAATTTCGAAGTGCTGAATAAACTTGATTATAATATAGACATTGGTTATGTGCTTATAATATAGCTTGTTAATGGAATTTGTATAGTGATTAAGCATTTAAGATTTATGTATGATCTAATCTAAAAAGATATATTTGTACCCAAAAACACTATTTATTGTAATCGGGTTTCATCAACTTCCATTTGTTAATTTTGCTTTTTATTAATTAGTTCATTATACTTTTAATCTGATTTTCTTAAAAATTAATCACATATTGAAGTTTGAGTATGATGCATTAGAATATGGGTAGATAATTTAATGGTCTCGTTTCTCTTGTTTTCACTTTTTGTTTTTAGTTAAAGAAACTATTGATAATAAAAATATGATTATTATAAATAAAATTCTTTAAATTTACTCTATCCCACTCTAGCTACTTAGAGTAGTGAGTGGTAATTTGACGTATGTCATATTATTTTTTGTAATATTAAAAATATTTTAGAAATGAACAAGCTTTATATATAAACTTTTTTTTTATTATTTCAAAAGCTTTATCATTTGTATTGGGTATTAAAATTGAAATACTTTTGACATCCAAAGTGTTAATGAACCTAAAGAGAGGGGATTAAATAATGGGATGTGAACGAATTAAGCATTTTAATGGAGTTTTATTGGACTAATTGCTCGAAAAAGTCAATAAAATTACCATAAATTAAAAATAAAAAGAAGGGATTATTTTTTAAAATATATAATTTGGCTTCTTATTCGTTTTCCATTATGTTGAATTCCATAATTAAGTATTAAGTTTAACTACAAAAGACCAAACTTGTTTGCTTCTTCGTACGTCCACTTCAAATGAGAATATATATATATTTTTTCATATTTTATTTATTTTATTGAAATTCTCTAAGGTATAATATTAATTAAGAGACTTTTTTCCTTTTTTTTCTTCATTTTTAGTACGACATTCTAAATCTTTTTTAAAAGTATTATTTTTTATTAAAAAGAAAAACTTTTAGGGTTGGTATAATATACTCTTGTAAGAGTTTTTCTTATGATAGTTTAAACGGATCTATTTATTAACACTTTTTTTCTTGTTTCAAGTTTTTAAGAAATATAAGTGTTTGGTAATTGTTTATGTTTCTTTTTTAATTTTTTAGAAATGTTTTCAATGGAATTTTGGAACAACAAAATCAAGTTTTTTTTTTCTATTTCCTTTCTTTTTTATTTAGTTTTTTCTAAAACATAAATAAAAATATTATTTTATTATTATTGACTTAAAATGCATAATAGACCAATGTAGAACATAAAAATTTTATTTTAAAATTTAGAAAATGAGAAATAAGAAATGACTATCCAACATGTTTCTATTTTTTTCAATAAAAAAAGAATAAGAAACAAGATAGGATTAACAAAAGCAATTGTGTAGAATAAGAAACAAAATAGGATTAACAAACTCAATTGCATTTTCATTTATTATAAAAAGTAAGAGAATAATAATATAAATATTTTCAAACATGTCGTAAATTAAGAAGTTTCATTGTTCTCAAGGACACGGAACATAAATTAACTTTTCACTCCTTTATTCTTTTATTATTTTTTTTTAAACAAACGATAGAACAAAACACAAAATAGAAGTAAAGAAGAGTACTTAATTTTTAAAAACTCTATATATATATATAATTATGATCATAACCCTAATTAAACAGTGTTGACCGTATGATTTTTCATAATTTCCTGATATTGGTTCACATTGATAATCATACTTTTAAATGGGATGACTATGAACTCGTAATTAAGAGGTAAATAATTTACCTAATAAATAACCAAAATAATTGCTTACCTCTTTAAATTGTCACCCACTCATGAATTAATTATTAAATTCAACAAATTTTGGTAAAAGAAAATTGTTAGGGAATATAGCTATATACTTTTATTTGCTTTTATAATTCAATGGTACTTTTTGAAGAGCATGCATGATTGGGTTTAAGCAAGATGCAAGTATCACCAATAATTTTCCCGGAAAAGAAAGTACCGAGAATCATTTTCCCGGAAAGAAAATCACGAACCCCATTATTAGGCTTTTTTTTTTTTTTGAATTCAATGGATTGAAGCAAAGAATCGCCATGGAAAAAAGGTGCTAAGTTCATTTAATATAACCTCTTCTACCCTACTAATTTATTCACATTTCTAAAGTT